GTCGTAGAATATGTTAAACTAAGAGCGTCGATAAAAAGAACACCCAAATCTGACTTCGTATGAGGAAGTTATGATTTTTCTAAGATTCGGCTTAGCAGTGCACGACCCGAAACTCGAATTTTAGTTCGAGCGGTTTTTGGCTTACGTGACCTAAATGAGAGTTCAAGATCTCATTAATAGGAACTCAACGGTAAAAATACAGACGAAAACGGAGTCGGTATGAAGGAGTTACGAATTCTTCGCGGTCATTTAACAGTCTAAACGCCTCGTACTGTTAAATTTAAGATCGGTCGAGAATTAGCCGACGGAGTCAAAATGAAAGTTGTAGATATTATTTTTACCTACGCGTGGATATAAAGAACGTCAAAAACAGAGGTCGTATGTGAAAGTTACGGATTTTAGAAGTCGGAAGTGTGCTATGCGAAAATGGGTGATGTGGCACAATCTTGGCCATTGCTTTCTCCCCAAGTCTTGCCACTAGATGGTGACATGTGGCACCAAGTTCAGCCATTTTCACCCTATAAATACCACCTCTCCCACCCTCATTTTCTTCACACCTTTCCCATTCTTTCTTCTCTTTACTCTCTCTCTAGAACCTCTCTCTAGCCCCGAAATCCCCCGAAAAGCCTAGGGAACCTCCCTAGCACGAGGCGGAAGCCCCGGAGTGCTCGACGGCTCCGAGAAGAAGAGCTTTTCGGCTCGGAAACGCTGCTCCAAGCAAAGCCTGGTTTTCTATAAAACCCGTTGTAAGTGAGCTACGCCTACGCTATTTTTAATATAGTTTTTATTTAATTATATTAACGTTATTAAGAACATATAATAAATACTTGGGCTATTATTATGGGTTATATAAGTATTTTTTTAACGCTTATATAATAGTAATAATAGCTAGACTATTAATTAGTCTCGGCGAATAATAGACTAAAATCTATTGGTGATAATACTAGGTTTCGTCGAAAGAAATTATTTTAAAGTAAACGAAGCGCTGTCCGAGTACCGAGTCACCACCTTCTCAGGTGAGTGCATGGTCCCTTTCATCTTACACATAGATATGAAGTATTTATTATATAATTTACGTGTTGTGAGTGCATAGTCTCTTTCATCTTACACATAGATATGAAGTATTTTATATAAACTACGTGCTATGTGTGCATATTATCTGAATACTTGCTGTCTATGCTGGATGAACGTTTTATACATGTTTTAAAGGATTTAAACTGTATACGTATTTTATATATACGAATATGTTGGGTATGATGATGGGTAGATAAATGATGATAGATAGAAGATGATGTGAGTATACATTCGCAGCTATAGACTTAGTGCCTATGGGACAAACACCGGTAGCTATGGACTTAGTACCTGTTAGACGTTGGTAGCTATGGATTTAGTACCTGTTGAACATTGGTAGCTATGGACTTAGTACCTATTAGATAAAGACTGGTAGCTATGGATTTAGTACCCGATGAATAGACTATAGCAGCTATGGAATTAGTGCTTTATGAACGAACATTGGCAGCTATGGATTTAGTGCCAGTCCTAGAACCCTGGAAGTAAGGGACTTCGGAATAAACGAATGAAGAATAGATGACTCTTAGGATAAATCCTTAAAGAGTAAAAAAAAAAAGATAACGGGGATGGGTAATTGGGTTGATTCTTTGATTGAACATAATAATTATATTATTGTGGGTTGAAAACCCTATGTACTCACCAGGTTTCCCAACCTGACCCACTCAGTTTATTTATATCACAGGTGTTGATACGAAGTCACTTTACACTGAGAGATTTAAAGAGATGTAGATCACTAGTGTAAATACATGTAAGTTCTGTTTATGCTTATGTTTCTGTATTAACGATGACATCCCAAACGTTTTAAATGAATAAAAATACGTTTCTTCGAAAATGTTTTAATAACGTATTTATCGTGTTTTTCTGGGAACAAATTCCGCAACCTTTTTATAAAATGAAGTACTCTGATTTTTATAAAGCATAAACAAAATCGGTCTTTTCTGGCCGTGAAAATGGGGATGTCACAATAGATCCATTAAAAACTACATAGTTTTAACAAAATACAATCAAATCTCTCTACCATCTTTCTTGTATTCTCTATTAGACTAGATGGTAGGCTTTGTACATACTTTTATGGAGTTTTAAAATTTTTATTTTGCAACACAAACTATGTATAAGAATACATTATCAACTACCTATAAATCTTCATATTCAAATTAAAAATACAAAACTATAGTGAAAGATTGAAATTATTCATTAAAAACCTAATAAACTTTTTCCCATAACACATCAAAAAGAACCATGCAAGTATACATATGGTTGGTGTCAATGAAAGTTATGAAGCCTACTAGAGGTCCAACATAAAAACACATTCGAAATACATAGATGTTCAGGATAAATTATGAAATCACAAATAATATGAGCTCAAAAGCAATAAGAAGGAGCTAACAATGAAAAAATATGTTTATTTAATCAAAATGAATCAATTTTGATGGTTCTATACCTAATATTATATACATGACAGCCACATATTCATTTTTTCCATATATATATATATATATATATATATATATATATATATATATATATATATATATATATATATATATATAATGAACCGATATATTTGTATTTGTATGTTTGTATTAAAATATTAGTTGGGTTTAAAATTGACTAATTAATGAGAAAGTTTAACTATTGAGGTTGTTATTTACTTACAGGTCAAAATTAATTGAAATAAAATAACCGATGGAGACTTTAGGCTAGACCAAAATTCATTTTATAAGCTTATCACATTATCTAACTATTTTTGTTTGACAAGTTTTACTTCTTTTTAAACTAGGTGTGAGATTCATGTATTACATGAGTTTAATTAAAAAAAACAAATATAAAATTTTAACAATTTGAAAAGTTTGAATTTATAAGAAAATGAGAAAAATTTGAATTATTAAAATTAATGAGACTTTAATGTATTGAATACATTCTATATATAAACTCTTTCTAATAAATATTTTACATATATATTACCTTACACATTAAATGTGAAATTTTAAATTAATAAAATGAAAAATACAATAAAATGACAGGTGGAAAATAGAAAATTTTAAAAATTTAGAAAATGCCATGTGTCCAAATGAATGAGAAGATGACATGTGGCAAAAAAAACCTTTATTTATTATAGTAGATACTAAATGACAGAGTGTAACGTTAATACGTTAATGATAAGCCAAAGTGACCAGAAAAAAGAAAGTTTTATAAGTTTGACATTTTAATTTATAAAACACCATATATTACTTTTTTTTAGTTATTATTCAAAGAACCAAAAGACAATTTGAATAACAACTCATGCAGTGAGTTATAAATATAAATTGCATAAATATTAAATTTTTGTCAAAATGTGATTATAATATTTATGCAGCATATAAGTTTTTTAAACTCTATTATATTCATATATAAATCATATATGAATACAGAATACCAACTAATTATATATGAAAAAAAAAGCTTAAGATCCTTTTTTTTCTTTCAAAAATTTGAAGAAACTTTATATATATATATATATATATATATATATATATATATATATATATATATATATAATATACATTACAACAGCATTTAAGCTTACGTATTAAACTTTTAAAATATATTGTTTTAACTTAGTAAATATACATGGTTTGGTTTTCACTTGGTAAATATATCATCTCAATATCATTTATTTCATCCATTATCGTTTTACCATCTTTATTTTCTTTCCTTCATTATCGTTTATTACTTCACTCCAGTGAACATTATTTTTTTCCACCGTCACGAAGCTCAAAGATAATCAATATTTTTGCTTCCTTATCAAAATTATTTTGTCGATTTTGAATCTACATCTTCAAGTGTTTAGAGTGAATCCACTAATCGTAATCTTTATATAGTAAGACAATGTATTTTCATTAGGTTTAGTACTTAAGTTTAGGTGAGGCTGTAATGTATATATTTTTTCCATATATAAAAGGTAAAAAATAGTTTATTAATAAAATAATATTGACTTGACATTTGAAAGCCTTTCAATTATAGAAAGAAGTTCACCAAGGTGACATGTAATTTGGACCAGGTGACATTGTAAGTAAATTTGAAAGAACCTCGTTGTAGATGGTCTTAAGTTCAAAGAGAACAACTAGTGTACGCATAGAAAGGGAGGGAAGAAGGTATGACTGTAAACTAATTGAATATTAAGCAAAGTATTCTCCAATCTCCATCCATTTTGCCAAAAGTTTGTTTTTGTTTATTTATTTATTAAATGAATGAAATATGAATAAGATTTTATATATTTAATTAAAATGAGCAAATATAAAAAAAAAACAATTCTTTTGTGCATGAATGTTTTGTAATGCGTTCGTTTATGTTTTTTATATTAAATCTACGTTTATTTATGTTCTTTACATGAGGTTGTATGTACAAATGCTATGCAAGAGTTATCTATTTGGATTGGCGCAAGAAACCTTTTAGGAGGTGGGATTTTTCGAAAATATTTCCTTATGTTGCCAATGTTTCCAAAGTGTGTATTTGTAGTTTGTTACTTTTGTTTAGGTGTTAATTTATATGTTTATCATGAACATGTTCGTTTGTTTGTGTTCTTTTACCTTTTTGTATGAACGTATATGAGCGAACTTATCTTTAGTGAACAAACATGAACATGAATATTTTTTCGTTTGTACGTTTGTGTTTGTAAGTTCGTAAAATTAAGCTAATGAACACAAACAAAGAACTTTCGTGTTCCTTAAATATTTGGTGGAAAAAAACACTTGTTCCTGTAAATAAGTTGAAGATGGTGTAAATCTACACATCAAACTATACTGTGTCATCGATTTTGATTTTTAAAATATTAATTATGATAAACATATTTAAATATTAACGAATGAAATGATTGAGGCTCTAAATCTACACATTAAAGTAGGACTCTTTCTTCATGATTTCGGAGAAAAAAAAAAAAAAACTTAATATCAATGTGATTTTGTGCTACAATGGGAGTTTACCACGCTGCCATTGACGGGCAACAGGAGCTCACAGTCCATATGCAGCCAGAACTTGACAGATCCCAACGGGCCAACTCTCCACATCGTCCTCGAACTCCCTTTCAAGAAGAACAACATCAACTTACTTTTACTCAACGATTGCTGTGTCAAATACTGTTCCTCCGGCGGCAACGGAATCGGCGACGACTCCACCACATAATTCAACTCCCTCGTCGCATTCTTCCCAACGTCGAACGGATTCGCCACCAGTCGCGCGATGTTCTGCCCGTGGTAACCGAGTAACAATCTGGTGTCATAGAAGGTCGCATGTGCTTTCTGGTTATGGTTCTCTGCACGGATGAGGATCGTTAATCGTACAGCCATAACACCTGTTCGATCATAGTAAAGATGATCCAGACGAGATGCACGGACGGAGAGGAGCGGCATTTTTGGTCGGATCACAAGGTATCCTGAAAATACAACTATTCCGGCGATGATTACGGAGGTGGCGATGAGTGAGCAGATAACGGCGAAGCACCAGATGAAGGGGTTGGTGCGGCGTTGTCGACCTAGTACCGGTTGCTTTGGCATTGAGACTGGGAGGAGGGGGCTAACTGTAAATATTTGGGCAGCATAGAGGGGTTGGAAATGTAAATGGTGGATATTATGGGGGGTTTTAAAGCGATTAAGGTTACGAGAGAGAAAATATAGAAGGTTTGGAGGAGGGGGTGAGCGCAGATCTTTGGGTCTAATTGGTGGGCAACGTTAAGGTACGTTACCCTGATTTAAAGCCACCCTTCATTTCATATTATTATTTGCACATAACTTTTGTACCATTGTTTCATAGGCTGATAGGCTTTCAAGCCTTCTAAACCTTCTTTATAATAAACTAAAAAAAAACATAATATTTACATGTCACATATATAACTTAGAAGCAATAGAGATGTTATATTTATATGAAATTTGCAATGATTTTTCAAACCAAAATATGCAATTTTTTTGGGTAACGTGTTTAGTATGTTAAATCGATTACATAATTTATGCGAGCAGTGATAATGTATATAAATTGGTTAAAAAAAATAGTATCAATGCTTAAATAAATATGTGTACATTCTTCTCTTTTAACAATTGTCAACTCTATTAACAAGAATGGGTTTTTCTTTTGAAAACTAATCAAATTGAATTATCATATTAAATGTTGTTTAGATCTATGATTACAAGTTATGTCGTTGCTTACAAACCTAGTGAAGACCCCAAAGGCACCTTCCAAAAGTAAAGGTACACAAAGCATAAAGGACAAAGCCACGAATTCAAATCTTCTCCAATTAAGAAACCTTGTTTGTAACCAATTTTTTATTATGATGCTTTTCAACCTGTCTACTTCTATCGAGGCTATTATCGTACTTCCGTAGGACGAAAGTTCATAAACCTTGTATATAATCCCTTTATGATATTTAATTACATATTTACATCATAATATCCGTACATTAATTTCCAAATCCTTTTCTCTTATTTTTGGAAAGAATGGCTTGGATATGTTGGTCTTTAAGGTTATGTTCCCTTAGAGCGGACACCTCCCACGGCGGTGCGTTTGACAGTTTTGGTGAAGAAAAATGAGACTTATTTCCAGAACCGGTCCTCAAAAACTAAATATTCTCAATGGCCTAGAATGAAAAAGAAAAAAAAATGATCTTATCTTTATTATAATTTTATATATTTATATATATATATATATATATATATATATATATATATATATATATATAATATATATATATATATATATATATATATATATATATATATATATATATATATATATATATATATATATATATATAGGTCCAACAGAGGTAAAATCCTTTGACAAGAGCTTCCGATAATATGAATGATTTGGTAGCTTTCCCCAGTAAAGACATGCTGCCCTCGTCGCTTTTAGTAGCTTATTTTCGTAAGCTCCTCTCTCCGGTCGTCCTCCTTCACCGCTATGATCCCTTTATTCTCTCGTATATAAGGATTCGGCTTGCTTCCTCAATTGGTTATTGGCTGGACATTTAATGACATTGACCGACTCTTGTCAATAGCAATAGGTTGTTTGGCAGCAAGCGACGAAAGATATGGCTTCTGGTTGTTTGTTGTGCCTAATAATATTAAGAGTTTCCGCGAATCCACACTAGCTAACTTTACACAAAAGGACTGCTTATTAGATTCCGGAATCTCCTATAACCATATTTTCCCCATCCCTGATGATTAAATGGATAGTTTAGCTAATTGATGTGCCACCCTCTTACCATTCTTATGAGTATCCGCATTCAATTAGAAACTTAAAAAGAATAAATTCTAGCTTGAATATCATCCACAATGTGTCCAATGCTAGGCTCGGGTCTTGTTGGAGCACGGCTCCCACATTGCACTGCCTGTCTCCACATCTATTCGGTAAAAGAAAGCTTCCAATGCTAGCTTCATTCCATAGTAGACAGCCCAGGCTTAGACAACTCCAGCATCCGTGGCGTGGAAATGACTCTTTGATATAGCTGAAAAGATGGTGCCAATTCAGTCCCTTAGTCCTACACCTAATCCAGATGCCTTAACCTCCTTTCAAAGAGCTCTATCACAATTGACTTTAAAGCAGTCATTCGAGGCAAAAGGGAAAGGAAGCTCAAACTATCTTCCCCCGAAAAGGAAATTGACTTCCTGAACGACAAGTGGCACCGCAGGCGAAGAGATAGCGTTCAATGAATCAGATAATTTCTTTTCATTAAATAACCTAAAAATTTTTTATATAGGTTGTCACGAGTCTAGTTGAGTCAAGATGCGTGTCGAGATGAGTTGAGTAAACCTTGTTCCAGTTCCTTCTGTCTTAGTTGCTTGTGTGCTTTACTCTATCTTAATGCTCGGATCACGAATTTCTCTTATCGATAATGAGTTATTCGCCTTCAGAAGTAAGGTCGGGTAGGAACGATAAGTGGGTGGGGTCATTGAGTTAGCCCAAGGGGGGAGCCATCCTCTCGGGAAAGGGACAGGAGCGCCTGGCGAAACCAGACTCTATCTATCCATTCTGCCTCAGATCCAATCTGACTGCACTGACGAAAGAACAATGTCCGCCCTGATCACCCATGTGACAGATGGTGACTCCTTCATCGCGTCCTTTGCTGAGGTAGAGTGCCTGAAAGAGAAAGAAGAGCTTACTAAGCCAAAAAGCTGAATATAGAGCTAAACATGCGGTTTTTTCTCGTCAAGCAGCAATCAAATCCTGGGAAAAAGGTAGGGTAGAATCGCCGAGTCGTCTAGCACCGTTCCCTGCCTCAACTCCACAATCACAATCATTTGTGAATAAAAAAGGTGGTTTGCTGCTGTCCCCGACATTGGAAAGACCTAACAAAGAATCCTTATAACGGGAAATGTGCTATATGGAGGTTTTTTTATGATTGTTGACGTACTGACTCATGCTCAAGATCCGCTTATGGTGGTTCGGCTTGCTTCTCTGTTGGCATTTCCTAGACCCAAGACCTACTAATATTATAATACTGCATGCAGAATGGATAGCACAGGTCGGAGGGGAAGAAGAAGGGAAGAGTACAATGGAAGGGGCCTAGGAAGATGTTCAACAACCATCTCCTTTCCGTCCAGAATGTAGTGTAGAAAAGCAAAGAATCTTTCCTGCTTCAGAGCTATTCAGAGCTAATAGGATAGGTATTCTATTTGAAATAAGGGGGCTTCCCTAAGGTGGGTTAAGGGCGTAGACCTCTAGACAGGACAGATTCAATTGTGGGTTCCACCCGCTTCCAGTCGAGTTTTATAGATTCCGATAGAGTCACCGCTCGCTTTTGCTTTTGACAAGATGCCCTAGTCCTTTTGGTAAGCGTAAGCATTTCGTAAGCAGAAAAAACTAGATATGAAACTCCCGATATCAGTTACAATGCTCACTATTACGGATCCCACGACGACAGCTCCCGCTGAAGCAATTGTTGCTGCGGAGGTAGCTAAATTACCTATCCGCTATAGACGGAAAAGGCATGCTGTGGCGGACTTAAATAAACCTTAGTTGAAAAAAAAATTATTGGTGGACCAGAAAGAAATTATTGACCTTGATATAACCCTTTTTATACCGGAGTAAATGAAGACTCCTAGAATGGCACGCACGAAGAAGCCTACTCAGAGTAGGAATCCCGCACATTATAAAAAAAGTAAAATGGACCTGCAACTACCTTAGACTTTCTTTAAGGAAGATTGCAAATAAGAGCTGATCCTCTAATTGTAATAGTAAGATTAGGATCCCGACTCATCTGTCAATTTTAGGCATATAAGGTAAATACATAGATATAGGTAAACTTACGTATACTATACCTATACGGCTATCCTTTATCTTATGAAAAGGAAAACTACGGGATAGCTATGCCGCAGTCAAAAACACATATTTATGGATATGTACTAAGCCAGCTCTTTAGACTAAGGCATATCAAAAAATGGGGTTCGATATAGGGAGTCTTTGCTGTTTACTGTTTACTTTACCTTTACCCAGCTTAAAGAACTGTGCCATAAATTCATAAGAACTGCTATTTGTAGAGCTTCTATAGCTTCGAGCCCTTTAGTTCGTTATCAAGCAGCTTAGAGGGTGATCGCTGGCCACAAACTTGCAAGAGTCAGCTATTTGTTCACATTCAAGCATTCGTTCCCCACGTTCGAGCTAGTCGAATCAGTACTTATTGTTATACCGTTCGTGCCCCTCAGAGCCACTTAACTCGCTTTCAAGAAGAAAAATACTGCTTCCAATTAATAGACTGAAATGAAAACTTTGAAAGATGTTATGGAGGGTTTCAAATCGGTGCTGGAACTGCTACAATTGCTTTAGCTGGAGCAGCAGTCGGAATTGGAAAGATATTCAGTTCGTTGATCCATTCAGTAGCACGGAGTCCGGAATTGGATACTAAATTGTTTGGTTATGCCATTTTAGGCTTTGCTCTCACGGAAGCCATTGCCTTGTTTGCTCTTATGATGGCCTTTCTGATCTTCTTCGTATTCTGAGATTCGCTACCGTCAGTAGCCTTCCTCCCAAGGCGAGCGAAGTGACGTGAGGCGAGCGTCTGAGTGAGTTGAGTGAGGAAGTGAGGGCCCTGAGGAAGCGGAGGGAGCGAAAGCTGGACCGGGTTTCACTGTTGTGTTGGTTAATGCCCAACCACCTTCAAGAAGGCAAAAAGTAAACTTAATAACCTTTTCCATTATCAGTAGCAGCAGTGGACGAATCGAGACAAGAAAAATACAGGTAGGAATCTGCTTATCTACTTGCCTTTCAACCTCAGAGCATTCAGTTCAGGTACCGCAGCGGTCGACGACTTGGCTGGGGCAGATCTTCACTCATTATCCTTCTTCGAACCTTTTGGTATGTATTGCCCCCTAACTATAGATCAGATCCAGCAGACGAGAAAGAAAATTTCCCACTGCTGCTGAGTCGTCGGACTTATCCACCAAGGGATTCGTGGAATTTCTGTGGATTGCGTTGGGGGAAATATACCAAAGCTAGGCAGATAGATAAACTCCTTTCCCACTGCTAAGGGAGAGCAAGAAAGATAAAAATTCTTGTTTTTGAACCA